TGTCTTCGGGCAACAATACGAGAGTATAATAGCAAAGGTAAAGAGTGGGCAGAAGATACCTAATGTTGCTGGGCAGTATGGCGTGAACAGGTCTACAGTAGGCCGCAGTTCATTTTTTTAAGAAAAATACTGTATAATCAAGAAGACTCAAGCAGCTAAAGGAGTAACAAAAATCACATCTGAGAAATAAAGAACATCGAAGAGTTCATAATGGAACCTGAAACGGATCTGACGACAGAAGAACGCCAAGAACTCTTGAATGAAGAACACCAAGAAACTTGGCGAGATATGTTTTCTTCTGAAAATGCGGACTTATGCCGATATCTGCTATTAAAGATCTTGTAAAGAAGTGGGATGATGTCAGAACAATGGTCTTAAAATGGCATCCAGACCAGGTTGAGGCTTGGGGATTTCTACAATTGCAATGCTATTAATTACTTACGAAAAATCCTGAAGAAGAGAGAAAAGCAATCGACATTAGACAGATTCTTTAACTCTTTCAAACTGAAAAAACATGACTTATTAGTCATGTTTCTTCAGTTTAACACAAGATTGTGTACGTATGTATTTTTATTATTACATATAAATAAACGTAGTAAGAAAGTATAGCCTATATTTTTTATTTTGGGGAGTCTCCAGAACGAATTAATCAAATTCCCAAAAAAACCTAAGATAAATCGATAATCGGTTAACGAACAATTCGGATAGCGAACAAAGTCTTGGAACGGATTATGTTCGTTAACCGATCACCCACTGTACATACATATCCTGAGTATGTGGTCTTGATTTTGAGAAAATTTTAAATTCAAAATTCAGTCAGTAGGTTAAATTTGATGCTACTGTCTCCTTAATGTGCATATTATATATGTTTTCTAACAAATTTCAGCAGTTAAGAAACATAGTGCAATAATTTTATTTCAGTTACAGATGTGGAATGTGCAATTGACAATTACATCAAAACTCCATTGCTGCACAACACACTTGATGGTAGAATGAAACTGACCTTGTTGAGTTGTCCCACATTTTGAAATTCTGTCTTTTAAGACAAATATATTGAGAACATTGTTTTGATAAATAAGACTCTTTAGATAGCCCATAACCAAAAGTCACAGTTCAGAATCTGGTAATCGTAGTAGCCACGATACTGGAAATGATTGACTAATTACTCTTTTGTGCAAAAATTGTTGTTGAAGGCTTGAACATTTAAGCTGATATATGAAGTGCACCATCTTACATAAAGATTCTTGTGTTCAGATAATTTCTGTGCTGCAGTGCTGGAATGTCAAAATTTTGATGAATCTGTAGATGAATGGATGGATTTTCTTCTGACCAAACACAGCAATTATAACTGTTCTCATCGCCACGCATATGAAAATGACCTATGTATCATCAACAGTCATCTCAACTATGAATGTCATGGCAAATGTTTTTCACTTATCATTATCACCAGAAACCAATTCTTGACTATGGAGTATATTGTGTGAATAAAGGTGAGACTTTTTACAGAACTTTCCACACTATCAAGTGGGCATATCTAATTGCTGTGATACTGCATATGCATTACTACTGCTCTGAGAATTTTCCATTCCATATTGCACTATTACAGTAGCAATATCTTCCATTTTCAGATTACAATTGGTTTGTGACCCCCATCCCAGTTTCACAGTGAAAGTTTCAGTCTCTTTCAAATGCAAAATCATTTACCTACAATTCCCAATAGTTGGGGTACCTCTTTATAAACCTTTTAAGTGCTGAACTGGCATAACTGTTTCATTGATAGAAGTTTAACAAGTAATGTATGATCAGGCAAAGTGAGAACCACGACTGTTTATTTGCTGAAGAATTGTGAAGAACATTTTGCAACTCCTTTTATACCCAAAATTTATTAGAAAATTTATGTAATATGCACATTAAGGGACAGCAATGCTGAATTTTGCCCAAGCAGCTGAATTTTGAGGTAAAAGTTTTATCAAAAATTATACAGTATACAATTTTCCAGAAAAATTTATATATCAAGATTTCATACATTTAACAAATATGACGGTTAAATTCCAGGTACGTATACTGTCATGGAGGCTCATCTCTGATTCAAGCAAACAAAAGTGTTTAGTCTCTGCTTGACCGAAGTCTATCAAGCTGAGACAAAAGGAACGTATGTAGCCGGCTTACAAAATATATTGCTTTATTCAACACAGGTTTCGAGTTTACAACCGAGAGCTCGTACAAACTCTCAACAAAACCTACGTTACAATACCACGTGTCCGAATACAAAACACTTAACCCCTTCACTCTCCCTTTTCAATTATTTTAGCATACACAGGCCGGACCTGTTACATTAACACGCGAAGAACAAATCCTTTTATCAGAATACTCACTAGGAGAATCCGGTACTTGAAAAACGGTCAGGTGTTGGACCAAAGTCTCTTCCTGTTCGGGAAATATATGTCCCCGTCGATGTATCGGGTAATATAGCTTCGTATATTGTAAAGTTCACTCGGTCCCCTTTTCGCACAACACGGATGCACTTGGATTTTGTCCCCTTCTACTCGGTAAGTCTCTCCTTCTCTCGATGACGTTGTATGACTTCTTTACCTTCGACGATCTACCACAGACGACAGGAACAAGAACCAAAAACTCACCCCGTCACATATGCCACTGCTATATATATCCCTGGGTTTCCAAACCCACCTGACCTCTTCGTTGGCCAATCACAAAGGTCCAGGTTCAACAAAGGGACAGGGTAGAGATTAAGGGGTACACGTGTCTTACAAACACAAAGAAGAACAAAAAAAACAAAAAAAAATCGACACAATTGAAATAAGTAAAACTTAAACCTAGTACAATGATAATAACTATGCAAATCATATTTATATACATTAATAAGAATAACAGTAAGCTGCGGAGCACTACATATCTCCCCACCATAAAGATTTACTTCCCGTAGTGTAGCCTACGGAAGTCGATCGCACGCTCCCTCAGATTATACGGCTTAACACGTGATTCGCTGTTAGGCACCTCACTCGCCTCATGTTGGCCGCTACCCCCTTGATTTTTCGCCTCGCCGCGTCTCTGTGCTAGCCTTTCATCAATCACATCCTCCTCATCCTCTGATTCAACCCTATTTATCCTTTTCTTTCTCTTAGTTCTCCCTTTTCTTATAATCTGCTGGTCGTAACAATGCTTTATACGATCAACGTGTACGGTTTCGACGTTATTCGGGTCGCCACCTTCTACCCGATATGTCGTTGGGCCCAGAACTTTTGTGATACGAAATGGACCTTTATACTTGCACGAAAACTTTCCCTTTTTAGAGCCCATCTTCTTCACCCAGACTCTTTGCCCTACAAGAAACTTCGTTAGAGTCCTACCCTTGTTACGGTAGTCCCTCCCTTTTCGATTAAATTCCCTCGCTCGCCTATTCGCGTCATCCCTTAACGAGCGAAGTTTGGTTACCAAGTATGCCCTCCGTTCGTCGATTGTCATACCCTCTGAAATTTGATCAATATTTGGGACGCGGGGATCGAATCCAAATAAGAGGAATGCTGGCGATTCGCCAATGGCGGAGTGATGCGAGTTGTTGTATGTAAAACAGGCTGAGGGAACCATCTCATCCCACTCCACTCCCCCGTCGGCTGACGACTTAGCGATCATCTCGATCAAAGATTTATTCGCCCTTTCGCATATTCCATTGGAACATGGCCGATAAGCTGTGGTGATATTCCGGTGAATCCCCAACCACTTGCAACAGTCCGAGAAAAGTGAAGACAAAAAGTTCGTGCCCCTATCGGATATAATAACTTCAGGTGTGCCATATCTACATATCACCTCATTAAAGATTGTATTGCTAATAGACCAAGCCGTTTGATCCCTTAGGGCGTGTGCCTCAACAAAACGGGTAAAAATGTCGATTATAACGAGAATGTACCGGTTCCCGTTCCTGGTCGTACGGATAGGCCCTATTATGTCGACTGCCACCTTTTGGAAGGGTGAGTCAGCTTTCTCATTTTCCTGGAATGGGGATTTGCCTTTATGAGCGTTATGTCTTTGGCATTTCCCGCACACCTTGATGACCTCCTCTACCTTAGCTCTCAAGTTCTGGATGTAATAATGTTTTTCGATGTTCCTGATGGTTTTCTTCACCCCCCAGTGCCCGGATAGATTATTTTCGTGCACCGCCCTGACTACCGCCTCAGCGAGACCTTTCCCTACACACAGTTGGTTAATACATTGGTTCCGAAACCTAAGAAACCTCTTTCTATATAGACAATCATCTATCATGGCATACTGGGGCAGCTTACGCTTTAAGACCTCATTGTCGGGGTCACGCGTTATATCCCTTTTTATGGGGCCAAAAGTGTCATCGCAATCCTGGGATAAACGAATTTCATCCCGGCTTACGACCGCGGTCCTAACCGAATCCACACTGAACTGGTTTACCCCATTAACGTTCCTTGACAGGAAATCCGCCACGGTGTTATCCACGCCTTTAACATGTTCGACCTCAATGTGGTAATCCATTAATTCCATGACCCAGCGGGTCAACCTTTTACTACCATTCTGCATGTTGCTTAGGAACACTAGGGGTTTGTGGTCAGAAAGANGTTCCGTGTCGCAATTGCCAAGTGCCACCGAACGTTGGTGTTCAGATATGCGGGCAGCCAGCATTCTGGTAGTCGCTCCTATATAATTGGTGCATGAAATGCAAATCATTGGCGGAAGCTGAGCTCAAGTTATATGTTGCCCATCTGCAATTTGCCAAGGCTTGTGATCCGGTTTCACTCTACGACCAACTTGGAAAGATTCACAGCATGGCATCGAAGTTTGCATGAGATGAAAGAGATAAACTAAGCAAGAAATTCAAGTGGCTTTGTAATGCAGCACGCAAACAACAAAATCCGGTGCAGCCAACCCAATTTCACAATTACACCGAGGAAATTGTTCCATCTCGAATTGAGAAGATTTTGCAACAGGGACCCAGATATATCCCTCTGCCACATAATATGAGCGCCGCAGAAATGGTACCAGCGACTCTTGTAGCACTCAAGTGCTGCCAAGCGACAACAAAATATCCACAAATGGAGCTGTCAATCATTTCGACACTAGCCTCAGTAAGACAAAATCCTGCTCAGACAAAACAAAGTCCCAGTGACCACTCTGTGAGACGGTACTTATCAACTTCCAACATGAGACTTCTAATATCAGACAAGGACAAGAAGTTTGTTCTATGCAGGGAGGAAGACTTTCTATGCAGGGCCACAGACTTTCTCAACCAGTCGCAAGCTGTCATCTTACCGGAAGACCCAACACCAGCCGTATTAAGAAAAACAAAGAAAATAATTACTCTCCCAGGGGTCACTTCAGTTCTTTCGGGACGCTTGGACCCCCCATCCAACGTCGCTTGTCCCAGACTTTTCTTTGAAGCAAAAACGCACAAAGAGAGCTGGCCGTTAAGGCCTTTAGTCAATAAGCGGTCCCACCCTACATACTTCCTCGAAAAAGCGCTTGCTAGATTGCTAGGTGGGCTACTCCCTTCCTCCTCCCAAGTAGTGACCTCATCTGTCGCGGCTAAAGAGAGGTTATGCGCTACGCTGGCTGGCTTGAGTCCAGATGCTTACACATTTTATAAAATGGATGTAGTCGCCTTGTACCCTTCGGTACCGCATTTCGAAGCGGTAATGCTAGCCAATGCATTACTTATCAAAGAGGGCTTTAGTGCACAGCAAGTTTTAGAAGTTCGCGAAGCATTACTCTTTATTACGGAGCACAATTACTTCCGCTTTAATGGAAAGATTTACCTGCAGAAGCAGGGGGTGCCAATGGGCTCACCACTGTCAGCTGTATTGGCAGAACTCATCATGCGGCGCGTTGAACACAGTGTTTTTAAATTCCCTCTCACCATAGCTTACCCCTTAATTTATTTAAGATACGTAGATGATATTCTTTTGGCGTGGCAGGATACGGAAGACTCCTTCCGGGTATTAGAACACCATTTATCAAAAATGTATGCCACTATACACTTCATGTGGGAGAAGGAAGTTGGGAGAAAAATTGCCTTCTTGGACTTGCACATTCAAAAATCCCAGGAAGGCTTGAAGTTTTCCGTCTATCACAAATTTGGCAATATCCCACCCATAATACCGGCCACAGCCTGTCAACCACAGCAATATGTTAATGCGGCCATAGCTCCCTTGATCAGACGGGCATTCTTACTACCATCGACACAACAACTTATCAATACCGAACTGGATGCTGTCCGCACAGCGGTGTACGCGGCCGGATTTAGTGAATCCAAATACATCCATGTTAAAAATAGGGTCATACAGTCTCTCTTCCCTGCCACCACATTGCGCAGACCAAGGGACTGGACAACGCTCCGTCCCTCACTCCCATACTGTGGACGCTTCACGGCCTGGATCTGCCGGATCTTTAGGCAGAATGGCTTTCGTTTACCTATTACCCCACGACCATGTCTGTGACGAATCTTATGTAATGATAGAGATGCTATTTCCACTCTGGAAAAATCTGGTGTATACTCCGTTCCCCTGCAGAATCCAATATCAGGACTATGCACCAATTATATAGGAGCGACTACCAGAATGCTGGCTGCCCGCATATCTGAACACCAACGTTCGGTGGCACTTGGCAATTGCGACACGGAACTTTCCAAATTGGTCATACAACAACATCACATAGCGCTTTGGAATCGGGTGGAAATACTCAAACGTTGTGATGAAGGGAGCTTGATATATATTTGGGAGGCTATCCTCACAAAACTGCTCTCCCCGTGCAACTCCCCTACCCTCGACTTACCGGACGTCTGGATTAATATATACAGACGGTTAAAAAATCAACAATAACTTTACATTCTTTTCCCGCACCGCCTACATGATTCAAAGCGCATACATGTCGGCCTCTTTCTATGTGTTATATGTATTTTAAATTATGTCCCATACTTTAGTCTTTAATATTTAAATATTAATGTAAACTAGCACTTATGGATCTATCCTGTTCGGTTTCTATGCTGTCTATGTTAAGGCGCATGCGTGCCAAATTTTATACGTGTTTACAAAGGGTTTTTAATTTTAATTTAAAATGTAAAATTTACTTGTTCTTAATAGCCACCCTAATTGGCTCTAATGTTATGCATGTTAAGGTGCACGCGCGCCAGTTTTTCGCGTTTACAAAGTAATTAATAGCCATTCCAATCGAAGTTTATTTGTTTTAAAACGCATATGTACCAATTTTAAATATTTTTAAATGTTTTTAATTCTAAAATTTAAATCTTATTTATAATAGTTATATTCAAAAAACGGCTAATATCGTTAATATTTAAATTTAAATGTATGGTTCGAATTCTCTGTTCGATTTGTATAGCCTGAAGACGACGTGCATATTTACGTCGAAAGCGCTCGCAAGAATAAATTATTTTTAATCATATTTAACGCCTCACAGTCTGAAGTTTTGGAAGAAGTTTTGATTGAATTAACTTAATTATCAATAATTAAAAGTTACAGTTAATGACAAGATAAGAAGCAGAATGAGTTATAAATAATTGTATTTGATTTTATTTTTGTGAGATTACCATCTCTGGTTAATTTATAAATGGTTACTAACAATAACACACTGTTGTAACAGGCAATTGCCTAGTACAAATAAAGATTTGATTTGATTTAAGCTTCATTTAAAAATTTGTTTGTTTATTTTTTGAAAAAATATTAAAACTTACTCTGTTAAGAGAGTTAATTTTTTGTTCTAAAAAGGCAATTTTGTCATCTTTTTCTTTCACAATGTTTAAAAGATGATGGTTTTCTTCTTGAGCTCTCTCCAACAGCTGAAAATATAAGTACAAATAGTTAGAGTTTTAGGAAATTAAGTAAAGGAACACTTACAGAATGTTTCCTCTTACTTCTTCCAAGTTCTCAGTGCAGGGAGTCTCGGGCCGCCCATTCTGGACAGATCGCGGAGAGTCTACGGGTTCCTGCACCAGACTCACGGTGGAGTCTGACTGGTTCACAGCACTGTCATAGTCCTGATTATCTTCATCGTCTGCGTCCAGATCAGATGGGCTAAATAAATAATTTTAGAATGTTTGGAAAACTTTACATTAGTCTAAAAATCTTTATTTTTATAAAAAAAAAAGAAGAATATGACACACCTTTTATTAATCCTCTGAGGAAAAGTTTTTGCTATTCCAATATTCTATCCATTATGAAAAATTAAAATAATTAATTTTCTCTCTCAAAATACATTTTAATATGATGAATACACACAAAAAAAAACCATAGAATCACAATTTAATCTTACAATTGTCTACATACTTTGTACTTTATGTTAATATATAAATGCTTAATGCTTTTAATATATAAAAAGTAATAAGCATATTATTTTAACGTTTATAAGTCCATATAACTTAAGTTTCAAAGTTCACCTATAAAACTCTTAATATCATTTCTAATATTACATCATAAAGTTACAATTTTTCTTTCACATCATTTAAAAAATTTCACTTATTTACCTGCCAGATTTAAGTTTAATGCATATTTCCATTAGCATCTACAATTTGAAGAGAGCAATTGCAATATTGCATTCTATTAAAAACTGAGAGCATAAATCAAAAGCATTTCTTCTCCAAAATTTGAGGAGGAAATTCTCATAAACTATACTAAACAATTAAACAGTTTGGCACTCAGAGTTATTTACCCAAATTCCTCTCCTGTTTTAAAAATTTGAAGTCCACAAATTTCCATCTTTGGATTGAGAATCCTGTTTTATTAGCAAAAGAACACTTTTGAGGTCTCTGGCCTTGTCTGCAACTCCTACAATTACATCCTCTTTTGACAATTCAAATAGAACATGTGACGATCTTGATAAACCTGTCTATGATATTCAATTTAAATTGCCAAAGAAATGTAATTATGAGAAATGAAGATGAAACCAAAAGCCTCAAAAATGATTATCGTAAATAAATAAAACTGTTTAGAATTAATATATATGTAATAAAAGTCCTCCAAACTATATGAAATTTTTCAAATGTTTAGAAAGCAATTCTCAGCTGTGTTTAAAACAGACTTCTAATCAAACTATACAGGGTACTTAGTAAAATCCTTATACACCCATGTAACTTATGAACACAGATAACTATAGTTACAAACATGACATAGTGCATAGTCACTTTAACTATAAGAGATATCAATAAAGTATACCCTAGCAGTAAAATTCAGAAGTTATCATTCCTGTTTTGAAAACAACACACAATATGGGAAAGAAGTCTATTGCAAAACTGTAGAGTGCAACTGATTTAGTATGAAAGGATACCATGAATGGTATGGATAAAGTGTGAAATGCTAATGTGCATGTTGAGCAAAGATGGTAAAATGTGTATTATTCGTGCATTCTTGTTCATTTCTTATGTGTTTATTTCTCATTTTTCCATGTGTTGGTGCTGAATTTGTTACTGTGTGTCAAATGCAATTATATGCCAATGTGTGTGTATTGTCCACACACACACATTGGCATATAATTGCATTTGCATATAATGTCCACACACACACATTGGCATATAATGTGTATTGTCCACAAACATTAAAGTATAAGGACTTTGCTACACACCTGTACATAAGATTTTTCTTTGTATTGGCAACTGCAAATATTTTGGCACTTACAACATATTCAATTCACTTTTAAAATGATGACGACGATAATTTTGGTTGGGGTCAATACTTGTGTTGAACAATAAAGCATGATACAATACCATATAAAGCTGACCTATACCATATTCCACAGAAATCATATTTTGGGTGAAGCTTCAAATTGTACTTTCCATAACTTTCTATGTGGGATATCATCTTCACTCATTTGTTAGTTCTTTCTAATAATTTAACATTGCAATAAATATTAAAATGCAAATTTTGTTTGAGAACAAAGTGAAATTTTCTTCTGAAAGTGATACTCTTCAGTTTTAAAATGCATGAGTAAAACACATTTTATTTTTACTATTGATATATAAGATATTATAATACAGCCGATTGAGGTTTTTATTGTGTCTAAAATGGTCACAATTTATGCACACTGTACAGCTAATAATTAAATGTGGAATTGTGGTATAATATGCCTATGTACTGTGGTGCATACTTTATACAAATACAATCAAAAACAAAATCTGTTTGCAATCTTATGATTGCAAATAGATGAAAAAAATATATATATTTTATACATTACAATACATAAAGAACACGCCTTCAAAACCAGCAAAATACATTTAATTAACAAACATTTTGGATTTTTAAAGATCTTTGTCATATTAGTACATTGAATCTTAAAAGTTGGGACAATTCGACCAGATGATTCAAATTTTACAAAATTTATCAAGCCTTATAGCTCCATGACTGGTGTTCACAAAAAATGTTAGCTAACTTTAATATAATTACATTAATAAGCAAGGCCAATTTACACTATTATCAGATGTAAAATAAAATGAAATAAGCCAATCAAACAAAATATGTCGGGCCTTTCCAAAGGCTTGCCTGCATTTCTAGGCCTAAGAGACCTCGTACCAAGACTTCTGTGCAGTGAAGACAATCTCTCATCTTTGAAGTTAACTGCTTTGCTTCTTCTAGCCGATTTATATATCTACAATTCTACCACATGCCTTAAGGAGGAGGGAGACATAACAGATGTGTCTAATAATTCTAGCCTCCTTTAAGCTAATTTGTATTTTGCCATAAAGTATATGCAGCCAATGCATTATTGGGTTCTCTCTTCTCTGTCTACAGAGCTCTTTGCTCTTTGATCCTCGCAGTGATCAGATGTTCCCCCCACATATTCCACTTGCTTGTTCAACTTGTTATCCTTATTGGATTTGCTGTACACACCCAATTTGCATACAGGGTAAATCTAATCCTTATCATTTATCAGAATGTCATATACAGAAGGGCTCCTCTTTAGTAAATACATTGGTGTGACATTTTAATAATCCAACTGTGGATACTCACAAGATGTCTATTATAGCTAATTATCCCAAAGTCCTCCAGGTCCATTCTTGGCTTTTCATGCAGTACATTAAAGTCAGACAATATTTTTACATATACTAATCACAGAGAGACACAACTCAGTAAATTTGTAAAATTCAAATCACCTGTTCAAATTGTACTGTTTGTTTAGATTCAACGTACTAACCTGATGAATGCCTTTAGAAAGGTCAAAAATGTTCATTAATTAAGCATATGTGCTGGTTTTAAAAGCTTGTAGGTGTTTTGTTAAAATTTATCACCTGTTTAAAGAGTTACAATATAAAAATATTAACAAAAGACAAATATGTATATATCAACATCCCAATAACCCAATGTATTGATATATTAATAAAGAGATGGCACATAACATCTATCTCTAGTTGTTCTTATAAGTTAATTTCTACTTATAATATATGTAGGAGTTCTACCCAATTATTTCGGCTGTTGGTTGGTTGTTTATTGACAAATATGCATATTTAAGTTTAAGATACTTTAGTCAACTATACCATAGCTTAGAATTTACATAAATATTTAAATGCAAGCTCTTGACATACCTTATACCACTCTCAAGCCATTGTATGCTACCAAATGAAAGAGAATCAAAATGTCATTGTAAACTTGATTTAAGAATATAATTTGTTCTTCTGTTCTAATTATCTTAATTGCAACCAATGAAACAAATTATATTCTTAAACCAAGTTTAGAATCAAAACGTTTTTGTTTCTCTTTCAATTAGCAGTGTTTGACAACTCAAGAATGGCATGACCTATGCAAAAAATGCTTGCATTTAAATATAATATTTATGTAACTTCTAGACATAAATATATATTTTGTATTGTAATGGTAAGTTCAAACAAAAAAATCAAATATCAAGTTTTTTAATTTTAGTGAAATATAAATAAATGCAACAATTTGATAAAATAAATTTGGAATAAGTAAAATGTAGTGAAGCCTCATCACTAGTGACAGAATTCTATAAGCATATCTGGTATGGTGTTATAGCAGATCTTATTACAATGTTACTTATTGTTTGTTAGATGAAATCCTATTAGAGATCATCATTTGAAAGTAAAATAATATAATTATGATGTGACACTGTTTCTATTCTAAGTTTTGAAAAATAAAATAAAATAATTACTGTTTAAGCATTTTATATAATTTGATAATCTGTTTTATTTTATATTTAATTTATTTAGTTGTGTCTTGAGTAAACCAAATAACAATATACTACTAAAGACTATAAAAAACATTAATTTTTCTTTAAAAGCATAGCATTACACTTACAGCATATAGTGAGTGTTTTTTCGCTTCTGAACATACGTGAAAATGACAATATTGTATATGATCATCGTATATTTCCACAGATCTGTCATCGTATATTTCCACAGATTTGAAGGTCATCGTATCTGTGAAAATATACTATCGTATATTTCCACAGATAAGATGACCTTCAAATATATGATCGTATATTTCCACAGATAAGATGACCTTCAAATAAGATGAGATATAAATTTTTGTCAGTGTTTTATAGTTTTAGCATATATCTGTCCTATAAGATGATCCTCAAACTATCAACAACCTATGAATTTAGTCTAGATCAGCAATCATCATCTGGATAATAATACTGTATAGTGTATACAGAATTATGTCCTATTCGTAATTTTCCAAATGACCAAATTTTATTTTCTTGCATCTGGCAGCATTGCCTTACAATTGTTGAACATTTGCACTGATTCAGGCATTTGGGTAATGACCTTGACTGTGAGATTCTGCAGGGATATTGATATTTTAATAAGATTTTTAAAAGATTTAAATAATAATTTGATAATTTTTGTAAAATTTTAAATAATCGAGGAGAACAAGGAACAAACGTTTCCTTTTTGAAACTTAGTTCCTGAGAGAGATCTTTATCTCTCTGATGACCAAATAGTTGACTAACCAAAAGAATCATCTCGACATCCTGTCAGATGATTCAAATTTTTAATCTCCATTGGAGGAGAATGTTATTATAAATAGGTGATTTGCGCCAAACTTGAGGCACGCATACTACAAGGAATGCCAAATGTAATAGGCGCATATTAAAGTAAACACCATAATTTATTCATTTGTGCTCCCATACGTCCCCATATTATCGAATGGATATAGTTGAAAGAATATATTTTGTATCCTATAGAGATATTTTGACATAATCATTATTGTAAACTCTCTCTCATATAAATGATAAGATATAGCTAGAGATAATGTCCATATCTTCTTATATGTAGTTATATTTATTTCATTAAATGTTTATTTGTTATTGTTAATCCATCTCTTTTTTTGACATCCTATCGACTTACCCCTGCATCTCACCCCCACTCGCTAACTTTGAAGCCCTCCTTTATTAGAGATCTTATAATTTTTAAATGCGTGATAGGGTGCAAATTCCATCCCTATCTGGTGTCAGATCCTGACGTTAATCAGGATTTCACAATTTTGGATCTCAACATAGAATTAAGCATTAAATAGAATTATATAGATATCATATACCCGCGGTTCCTCACATTGACTATTCACAAAAACATTGTATGGTCTATTCTATTTTGTGGACATACCCTACTCTCTACTAGTAAATAATTATGGTTTGTCTGTTTTTTTTATAATGGTTTTAATTTATATAAATTTTAATCTAATTTCTTTTATATCTGTCCTATAAAACAACCCCAGATTTTGGGGGTCTTTTTTTTTATGATTCAACTATTGTCTTGTTCTGCAGAAATTTATGGTACTTTAAATCTTTCTTTAACTTCTCTATATTGTTTGTGAATTATTTGTATGATGGTCCAAATACTAATGGAGCTCAAGTCAAATCCCAAATTTCCACAAGTGGTTTGGCTCACACATTGAGCTTTGTGTCGTCACCCAATTACTCTGTTGCAGACCTGACTAAACCTGTGACAAGCACAAAAGCAGATACAATATTTGTATAAAAATAAATGTATGAAATTCCAAGATATGGTATTATACAAACAATTTAAATGTACTAAGTGTGTCAATAAAAAATGAAAATGTGTTAAAGTAATAAAATCCAATTATTTAATTGCAAGATTAAGCAACCTAATAGGATTTAACATTCTAAGACAATGAATATCATGAAAAATTGATGAAAATATGACTTTTAACTGTCTTAAGGTGTTAAAATAAAATATTTTATGACACTCAAACTAAATAAAACTTTATTAACAAGCACTTTATTAATCAATGCACCTTCAACAGTGGATGAAGTTAAAGGATTCTGCTTTTGTCTGTCCAAGCCCAAAGATGGTCCTCAACCAGATCAAAAATGGTAGTATTTCTTCAACTTCACCCATTGTTAAAGGTGCATTGATTCACTCAGCAAATTAACTGCAGTGACTAGCTATCCTTGTTCATACTTTGTTTCAACGTATCATATAAAAAATACTTTCTAAAATATTCAATAATAATTAAAATAAAACTGACTAGAAAAGCCAACAATAAAATAAATGTTAGTAATTTCATAAGACATGCTATTCTTGTAAAAAACTCGCTCACCTCGGATGCTCCTGAATGATCCTTTTCCACCTGTGCCTCATTATAATTGGTGTTACGTCTTGTTTCGGCAGACATCAGAAGTTCCTCTTCATCTTCGCCAGTGCTTCCTCCGGTACTCTAATAAGATATTATACATTATTTTAAATACATTTTATATAATTTATATAAGGAGCATTCACAATCTTTAGCTTTTCTTGCTATACCGGCTTTCACAGCTTAAATCACAAAAGTGTGTGTCTCTCGACCTCTGCTTCATTAGTGTAGTTTCCATGGCAAAAGCCATCAGCTTACAGGAAAGCTGTCTTGGAGCAGTGTTCACCAATTATCAAAATCCACCAACAGAGGATCAGTCATCACATTTTAAACTTGTAGAAATGGAAGAAAATAATTCTCTTAAATTACAATAATGATAAAAATAAAAACAAAACCTTTAATAACCAGTAACAGAACTTTTAATGATAAATTCTGAACATTTTCGGCCTTCACCAAGACCTGCCTCAGGTTTGTCGTTAAAGTTCTGTTACTTGGTTATTAAAGGTTTTGTTTTTATTTTTATTTGATTACTCCAGTAATTTGAGAAGGAGATAGTTTTAATTACAATAATGACAACCAACAAGAGGTTCAATAAAGATAAAATGAGAATAGCAGATGTTTGTAGTCAATAGTACCAAAAAGTTTTAGGTTTGTTACTTTCCTGAAATTGTCCAGTTCATATGCATGTTCATGATTCACAGCTTTTATATAATTTAGTTCTTCTAAAAGCAAGAAAAACTCCCACTATGAATACTCCTATACAGTTCTAAGCTAAATATATCTCAATCTAGAGAAATTCAGAATATAAACAATTTCTTAGTAGCAGTCCAAAGAAATATTTTATCTCCAACAATTTTCTAATTAGTTCTGATATCCTAAATTATCAGAATATTCAAAATAGATCAGAAATGTCTCCACCAATCAGTGGATGACAATGCGTTGAATTCAAATACTCAAATAGCATGGTTCCATTTTCAATTCTACAGCCTGACATCTAATGTAATGTGAATGAAACATTCAAGTGAAGTTTTTGCTGGATTCTTTGCTTTGCATATGTTCATTTAGTACAATTTAATCAGCATTCAGTTGTCATCTATTAACTAAATATATGTTTCAGCTTGCAAAACTTGGGACTCTCGTATGCATCACCACATGACAGAGTTCAGCTGTATATATATTGTAGTTAATTTAAAACCTCTGAATAGTTTTTTACAGTTTAGAGGGCTATTCTAAATTATCCTTGTTTTCTGGTTTTGAATGCACTAATTGCATTGAAAAATATTTATTCAAAAGAAAACAAAAGTCATATCACTATCATAATAGATTATTTTGTGCAATTTTACTCCAAACTCTAAATCTCTAAATGAAAGTATAAAAAAATACTTTCATTTTATTGATTATGTAAATGTAATAGCCCGTAAACAGAATAGAAGAGAGCATTAACATAATTTATGCAGAAATAAAGGGACTAAATACAGTCTTACATGAATAAAGACTAAATAATATACAACAGTAGACATTTGATTTAATCATTCTTACATTTGTTATCCCATAATTTAATTCTGAAAGATAATTTCAAATTGTTTATATTACATAACTAATGCTGGCAAAAACTGTGATTATAGAAATAATAAATACCTTTTACAAAAAATTTTGCAATGATTGAAATACGTCACAATATAAACATCACAAACCTAAAATATCATCAGGCTATAAACTAGAAAAGTAAAATGCATAGGTTAATCTTTGTTGTTTTTATTAATCCCAACTTTCTGAGCTATTTTTGGCTATAAGAAATCAGATAGGACAAAACAAATTTGCACTAGAGGTATTAGTCTAATCGACTACCTCTGATCCGATTCATTTATCTGATTTCTTGAAGCCAAAAATAACTCAGAAAGTTAAACTCGATGCTTATATAATTAGAGTTCATTACTTTATTTGTCATGTTTATAGTTAAAGTGTTTTCCTCTGTACCTTTCCATTCTACACAACACTTTAATTCGATCAAAGGCATTTCATAACCTTTTATAAATCCCAATATTCTGCATAGTAAGGTGTGTTTCAAATTTATACGGACACGAAAAAATTAAAGTGAAATTCTTACTTTGCAGTGTAGAAACATGTAAATCCATGTTATTTTTAATAAAACATTTGTCACTTAATGCAGCAAATTTGGGTTTTACTTTAATTTTTTCATGTCTGTATAAATTTAAAACACGCCTTAAGTTCTATAAACATTTTGATATACGATACTTTCTTTGAGAAGTGGTAAATAGGAAGTTTTAAATAATATCAAACTTAGAATACATTCAAAAATATTGCAGAATCTTTTTTTCTAAGTTGTTGATTTATAATCACTAGAGACATAAGACATAATTCATTAATGATACTTGATAGTAATGTTGTTAAATCACTTGTCTATATTATTCATGACTCACTTCTAAATTATCTAAAATTGGTTCCAAAAAACCTTTTTATGTTATCAAACTTTTGAAAATTTCAATTAATTAAATTGATAATCATTAAAATAATAATTAGCTTTTCTAATGATTAAAATACAAAAAAATTGAGAATTAATAAGAACTATGGCATTTTTTAAAATGATGTTTTTGGAAATTGTAAATCTCCTCGAGTGGCAAGAATAAAATGATAAACTTTGCTATGAAGCTTCCAATAATTTCTCTCTTAAATTTAAGTTAGTTGTAACATAATTATCAAAAACACTCCAAGCAAAAGTACCATTTTTGCAATAGTAAATGTAATGTGCCTATCGAGACTGATGGATTCGTCCACACCATTTGTCACAGAAACACTGGTTTTGTGGTTAAGAAGCTCATACTTTCACAGTAAAAGTGAGATATAAGTACCCCTTTTTCCATCAAAATGAAAACACAAACATTCTTTGCTACAGAACCAGTGATAAGAAGGCTGCACAATCCTGTCAGTCTTGGGTGAACGATACTTAAAATTATAATATAATAGCAGCAATGTGCATCAGTAAAACAATTATTTGTAGACTTCCAAGCTAAAATTCAGACACTTAAAAAAATAACAGGAAAAATATCCAGTTTTTAAGTAAAATTTTAAACTCTAAGTTTAAATATCAGTATTAAAATGGAAATACAAATGCTTATTTTGTGATATAATCATTATTATAGAAAAATGAAAATAAATTCCTAACTAGTCTATAAAATTTAACTAACACTTATGACAAACCCTATAATTATTGTAAATAATAAATGAATAGCTTGATTCCTTTATCAAGCTATTTAAGGCCAATTAATTAATTTGGCTAGAGGTAGGTGTTTAGGTCGCCATCTCTTGTTAAACTTAATAATTAGCCCGATAAAGCAATCCAGCCATCTATTCAATATTTATAAAATTTAATTTCTGAGTGAAATATTGATACAAATTGATCCAATGAATCCACCTGTAAAAGTTTATTATTTTAAATAAACAATATTACCCTATAGATTTAATAACTACTTTAAGAGACCTACTAATATATCTGCAAATGTCAATAGATTTAAGATATATAAAATAACTGCAAATACTCAATCTTTCATATTTGCAGAGTTTTGTAAGGAACACTGTTATGTGCACGAGTATATATAATTTCTTTAACTAATTTAATTTAATAATTATGTTTAATTTCTGCATAATTTACAGCTTAGAAAAAAGAGTTAAATATAAAATATGATACAGTAAAAAATGTCCGAAACAAAAACCTGACACTATATGACAAAATTTTCTGTTTTGACAGGTTTCTATTTAATAGAGAAGTGGTTCTCAAAATTGTTTGGTTCATGGTGCATTGTAAAACAGATAAAATTTTTCTGGCTCACTTTGTGTACAAAATTATAAATATATTAATTTATTTTAAATTATTTATAGTTGTATACTATAATAACTGTTATATGAAAGGCATAGCCTGCTATTAGTTGATCATGGATGTAATAAATTTTTATACAGATGAGTTTCTTCTCATTTTTAAAATAAGAAAAATCTGTCTAAAACAGAATCCAAATAAAATGTATACCTGCCTAATTAGAAAAACTGCTTCGGAACAGAGCAATTTTCTATGTTAAATTTTACCATAAGCCAGAAACCTGTCCAACATGGAAATGGAAAAGGTTTTTGGATACAAAGAACATAACGTAACCCAAATAAAGTGAAAAATTAAGATTCTATTTGTAGGAAAATAACTAAAATTGACTAGGTATAGTGGATGTTGCAGAGCATGACATACTATATTCTAAGAACAATTCCAAACCTTGACAGAGAAATGAAGAGCACATGATAAAGATACAGAAACACAAGGTCTTTGTTAGTCTTTGTTGGGATTAACCAGGAGCAGAATCGAAAACTTTCAAGAATCAAATGGGTTTCCACAAATTGGATTCTCAAGAACAAAAAATGAATGTAAGTCATAAAAACAATGATGATAAGGTAACACAGTACTGTCAATTTGTCTTGTACAGAATAATTAGTAACTAACTAGTAATGAGTATCCAAAAACAAGTTGATTAACATATTGATAATTATCAGAATGAAGTAAACTATTAATTAGAGCAGTGTTTCCCAACTCGTGCATTGTGAGAGTGGTTCAGGCATGTCGTGGAAATACTAAATATTTCGTAGAATTTTGAATTAACTCTTTTTTTAAATTTCATTTATCTTTCATCTTTCTATCATCAGCCAACCAAAGAAGGAGTATTCACTAAAATGCCAAATGTTTAAAAATTTTCAGCACCCCCTCACAAAAGTTGCGTGTGTGTATGGATATGCTGGTGTACCAACTCTTCGGAGCTTCTATAAAGGCTTGTCAGCTTAAAGATCGATACCAAAGTCAACAGGTTATCTGGTACTGACTGTAATTAGAGTAGTAGTGGAAATGACTGCATTGGCCACTATGGGTGCTTCGAACGTTTGGGATCCATTGCAATATGAAAACAGTAGAAGGCATTTTATATTTTCAGTCATTTAGTCACTATCTTTTATTAATTAATGCATTTAGTTATTAGCATTTAATCATTAAATTAAGGCATTTAGTTATTTAGTAATTTAGATTTTACTCATTT